GGATATTCTTAATCAGTAAGCTCATTTGTAGTCCTCTAAAGAGCTATTTTATGAAAAAAAGATAAAAATAAAAATTTTTAATAAACTTGGGGGAATGCACAGCTAGGAACGGGTAAGGTTGGGTTAGCCGCGAGTCCGTATTTTATTTATTATAAATTTTTAAGAGCGAAAATGTAAAATCCGGCCTTTTAGAGGACTGCTTTATTATATAAAGAATATATTAAAAAAATTCACGAAGTTATGTCACTTATTTTATGAAATATCTGGACGATAAGATTCTCACTAGATTCATAAGGAGCAGGGGAAATTTCTGTGGTAACATGCTGACTGCTTGACAAGGAGAGAGCATCATTCCATCTTTGTCTCTCTTACATCGCATATGTAGTAGCGTCCATGTAGGTACAAACACTAATACGTGAGCACACGGATGCAAATATTGAGAGATAATGTCAGCAAAAAGGCTATCATATTATTTTTATTTTTTTGTATATGTATGCATATGTAAATAAAGAACAAAAATAAAAACTATTTTAAGATGACATTTTATAATTAATTTTTTATATGTATTTGCATTTTATTAATATATATTACATTTTTGATATGTTTTAATTTATAATTTATATAAACATAAGTATGAAATAAAAATTGAAATAGTTCTGAAAATAAGTATATTAATGATAAAATTATTCAAAACAATAAAAAATTAAATTTAATATTTTTTAGTGTTTGTACCTACATGGACGCTACTACATATGCGATGTAAGAGAGACAAAGATGGAATGATGCTCTCTCCTTGTCAAGCAGTATTAAAAGCCATATTAAAAGCTCTAGCTTCATTCAATTAATAATCCAATATAATAATCAACAATTATTTTTATATAATATATAGTATTTTTAAATATTTTTAAATATTTAAAAATATTTTTTTAAGATTAATTGAGGAAAAGAATATTTTAAATATAAAAAATATTTTAAATATTCTTTTTCAATTAATTTTTAAAACAAATTTTAAAATATTTTTATATATTCAAATACTTATTATATTATATAAAATTATTGTGAATTATACTCATTGGAGTAATAATTATTGATTGAAGCTTGTTATGGCACAAACTGAACATCTTGTACATTGTCTGTATATATTTTACTTATTTAAAATGTTTTTTATAAATAAATGAAATATTATATATATATAATATATAAGATTATAATATATAAGATTATTGATGTTACATTGTATAACTCTCATTTCTTTCTCTCTGCTACATAAGTACTTATGACGTGAAAGAACTTACGAGTAACGTATGATGGCTCAATGCAAGAATATTTAATCACGTAAAAAACTTGAGTTCAAATATATCAATATCAATTTTTTATAATATATTGGAATATAGAAAATCATAGAAATATATTTTTTATATAGGCGATAAACTTAAAAATTTGATATTGAAAATATTTTAATCATTTTACAACTACACATACTATAAATATAAATGCAAAATAATTCCGTAAATAAATTTCAAGTAATAAATCAATTGCACACATGCACACAGCTGGTATGTAGATTTTTATTAAATTTATTTTCTGAATTATTTTACACTTATATATAGTGTATGTAGTAAAAATATTTTCAATATATTAAAAATTTTTAAATCGCCGAAATATTTTTTTATCATTTTTCTATATTCTAATATATATATATATATTATAAAAATTGATATTGATATATTTGAACTCTAATTTATATACTGGATGATATACTGAACATCCTTGCATTGATTATACATTACTCAACGTTCTTTCACGTTATAAGTATTTGGAGCAAATTATACAATAGCATCAATAATCAAAAAGAAATCAAGAATATAATCAACATATCCCTTATATAATATATATATATATATATATATATATATATATATGTTATATATATACGTTATGCACATATGTGCATAACCATATATACAATTTCCAAAAAGTGGGTGCTTATTAGTCTTGCTACGTTACTGCTTTCTGCTACGGAAGGCCAGAAAGCATTTTCAGGCGGCATCTCGCGTATACCGGCACGGTAGATGAACAAGGAGAACACGTGATTATCGGTCCTTGTCTCTCTTACGTGCGTCCGCGTGAGCGATGCAGTTGGTGTATGTACGTGTACAGACATACACCACTACATAAACCCGAGAATTGGTTTCTCGGCGTTGGCAACACTGAAACCGGAGTTTTGCGTTGTCACCGCACGAGGTCTCCAATATCAATTCGGAGTTTGCCTGGGTGTACTGCCGACCCTTAAGCGGATATATTAATTTGTTCACAGTGTCGTTACATAATATAACAGCATGACATACATAAATCTGACGCTCTAACTCATGCAACAACATGACTTTTGTACTGCGTTCGTCATATAATCTCATAAATGTTGTATTTATAATAAGGTCGATATGACTTAATTAATTTTTTTGACATATTAGTAGGATATTGAAAAAGACTGTCGTACAGTCGAAACGTTTATCTTAACTTTTGTATATTATGACGTAAATTAATAAAAAAATTTTTCAATTAATATCATATAAGCTCGTTAAGTTGGCCTTTTATTATATCACATATTTTAATATATATAGGTTTATATGTTAATAATAATTATATGCGTTATTATATGTTGCGCGTGTATATATATATATATATATATATATATATATATATATTATACATATATTATTTATTATCAACTACTTTCCCAGTTACATAATAATTATTATTGATAAATGAGTTTGAAGAGACAAATATTATAATAATTTTAATTAATTAGTCTTATTACTAATCTTTGTCTTATTTATTTTATTGATTAATCAACATTATAATTCCTCATTTACTTTTATGTTTAATTTTTAAATCTTATTTTTGATGATAATAAATCATGACAGTTCGTTACTATTTCACGATGAACTTCGAGCATGAAAATTATGAGTCATTTGCAATCAAATGGAAATATTCTCCCGGCAAAGAGAATTTATAATAATCCAGTTATATCCGATCTAAACAGTCGTGAGAGAGCATTATCTTGATGTACAATCGCGTGAAATAAATGTGAGAAATGTTTTTCTCTCAGTATTACCACAAAATAACAATGCCAATTTTGGCTTTGCACGCGTATATAACGAGTAGCTACTACTGGATCTTTAATAATTATCCCGCAAGCGCTGCCAAGCAAAGAAATTCCGCCGCAACTCTCTGTGCGCAATCATGAAACTTGAAACGAAGTCGAAAATTGCTACGAAACAGCAAGTAATGAGGTCAAGTGAGCCCCATCGTGACCGAGAAACCGAGTTAGCGTACTTCTCGTAGATGTGCCGACTCGTACGAATGTTTGTTAACGTAAGAAATTTGATTTTAAGCGGAGGTAGACAAATAATGAGGCCATTAATGAATTCGTTGTTCGTATCTCGGACAAAACTACCTGGCTTCAGTCAGCCAGTGTTAGCAGTCGCCTCCACTTCAACGGTACCAGTTTGGTTTCAGCAATGATGGCCGCGGGTCGATCGCACTTACGGGATAAAAATTTGATTTTATTAATAGGCGACGATCAATGGTGTGTAACTTTAATACGATTATGTCCCGCCGTCGCCGCGATGTTGGGTCAAAGTTATATTGAACGCTCAAGAAGTAGTAGCAGACATCAGATGCAATCTGTTTTTTCGAGCCATTTTGCCGTTACGTGATTGCACATGTATTATTAAAAACTGCACAGAAAAAAAGGAATCCTTGATTCAAGTATATTTTTATTCTTGAAGCTCTTTGATTGATTTAAGCATAGAATGCTCTTTCTAATCACAAATTTTCATTAGCCTTAATAATAAATAAGTTTGTGTAAAGTATATTTTATCCTTAAGATATTCTTGTTTTAAAAATCGCATATGGTAAAAACAAACTTAGTCACATTTAAACTAAGAATTATTATATATATTTGAAAGTACCGCTTATATCCGATGCACACTTGTCACTTGTCCTTGCAATATTTATAAGTAAATTTCAGCTTCAACTAAGAATATTTTGCACTTTGTTTTAAGAATAAATTATCCTTTATCCAAAATTATTTATATTTGGCGCTATTATAAGGATAAAATATACTTGAATCAAGGCATATTTGCATTCTCTCAAAAATACTGTTTTTTCTGTGTGACATTTTTGCTTCGCGACATTTATATCAGAATTTTGCAATGTATAGAAGGAACTCCTCGATGGGAAAAAGTTAAAATAAATTCTTAAAACAAGAAACACGGTATAATAAAGTAAAGTTTATATGACGATATTATGTACAAGCAATAATTTCTGTATAATAAATAAGTAAGTAAAAATATTGTGCGTTTACAAAAAAGGCATCAAATACACGAAAGAAAGAAAACATATTATTTATATATATATATAAAGACCAACATATGTAATGTTGATAGAAAAACTATATGAAGTCATCTAGAATTCTTGCATTCTATTACCAATCAAATCTCTATGATATATAATTAAATCATCTTACATAAATTTCAAAAATATTCAGATTTTCTATGATATATTTATTTATGAAAGAATCCTATTTTTAAAGTTATTCATTTTTTCGCTGTAATGGTTATAATATATTTTTGCATTTATAATATATGTAGGATGTATTAACACTCGCACTGATTTAGCAATATTGATTTGACATTTCAAAATCGCAGCTTTGCATATTATTTTCTAGATATTATATACACAGTATGTTCAATAAATAAGGGGACTTTTTATTTAAATCATGGAACACGTAACGCCATCTATTGAACGTTGATAGCATTAGAAAGGTACAGGTCTCACCTTTCAAACGCAGCCAACTTCATGTAAATCGGTTGACAGGTTAAAAAGTTACGCGCTTTTTAATGACAGTATGTTTTGTGCTTGTGTCGTAAAAATACAATGGAAATATTAAATTTTGTTTTAAACTTGGAAAAACATTTAGTGAGACGTACGAATTGATGCGAAAAGTGTATGGTGATGATTGTTTAGCTCGTTCAAAAGTTCATAAGTGGTTTAAACGATTTAAAAATGGTCGTGAAGATTTGAATAATGATGAAAGACCTGGTCGTCCAGAAGGAAGTAATCGTGCTGAATTGGTGGAAAAAGTCCGCGAAATCATTGCTGTTGTTGTCAAACTGTTAATGGAGAATACTATTTACAAGTTTTACATCGTTTGTGGTCAAGAATTGTTCGTGTTAGACCTGAATCCAGAGGGGAAACAGCTGTTTTTATTGCATGATAATGCACTACCTCACAAAACCAAAAAAGTTCGTGAATTTTTGATGAAAAAACAGATTTGTGTCATCGACCACCCTCCGTATTCTCCTGATCTATCACCATGCGACTATTTTCTGTTCCCTAAACTGAAAACTGCCATGAAAGGAGCGTTTTACAATGATATTCCAGCCATTCAAGCAGCCGTGACACAGGTGTTAAAGAACATTCCTTTAGATGACATGAAAGAGTCTATGCATAAATTGGTTGATCGTTCTAAACGTTGTATTGAGTTAAATGGAGACTATTTCGAATAAAAAATAACTTTCAAACATAGTACGATACGTGTTTTATTCTATATCTTAAAAGTCCCCTTATTTATTGAACATACTGTGTATATGAATTTTTTAAAAAATTTGCTTCTTCCCTCCCTTTACCCTAAAATATTTAAATGGATGGTTGTATCTTTGGCGCACTATTTTGACCGGTTCTCAAATGATAACGATACATCGTTATACCATCGTAGTGAATTATGATTGCACATTCATCACGCAGATAACATCGCTGTCCAAGGTAATCGCAAATAAAGCGTATATCCCTCTCGATCCTCTATTAGTGAAACAACTTTACTTTTTTATAGTGTACAATTTGCACTATAAATATATTTTTCCTTCATCACAACTTTATTTAATGAGAACATTAATAATTATCGATTTAAAATGAGAGAATTGCAGATTTTATTAAATGAGTATTAACATGTATTAAGAAAACTTAAAGTTTTTTAATCAAGAATTATAAAAACTTGTTTTTCAAAGATTGAAAATCTTGCACTATAAATATATTTTTCCTTCATCACAACTTTATTTAATGAGAACATTAATAATTATCGATTTAAAATGAGAGAATTGCAGATTTTATTAAATGAGTATTATAACATGTATTAAGAAAACTTAAAGCTTTTTAATCAAGAATTATAAAAACTTCTTTTTCAAAGATTGAAAATCTTTTTATAATCAAAGAATAAGTAATCTACGTTATCAGATATTAAATACTGACATCAATTTCAGTTTTAATTCTAGTCTTTAATGTTATTTTTAAATATACGAATTATTTTTTACATAATTTGTAATTATTATTACGTTACGTTTGCATAACATTTCAACTCATGACAGATTGACGTCAGGTATGCATAATAACTTTAAATTTTTTATATTAATTAAATATATTGATTATATTAAAAAAATATTGACGTGTGACTTGTTTATGAGTGGCAAGCAGTTTGAAACAATTAACTTTTATAGAAGAGGCATAATAAATTGCAAGTTGTCTCAAAAACCGATATTAATTGAATTTTTTAAATAATGCGATTATATATATGCTTTAATTATTGCATCATACAAGTGACATTTATTTATTTAACGTGCCGTGTTGTAAAAAATGTTTGAATATTCAATAGTAACATTAATAATTAGCTGTGTGACAAATTAAAGAGACTTGAACATAACAGTTTTTTAATATTTTTATATTTATAATCATTAAAAAGATGTAACAGATTATATTTTTGTACATAAAAAATAACAGATTATTATTTGTTCAATTAAAAAATATGCGTAGTATAACATCCTATTTATAATATCATACTAAAAAATGATTACCGACCATGCCTGTTATATAAAATATCGGACAAATAAAACTCAAATTATTTGTAAATAAAACGTGTTAAATTTAATCTCGTCATATTTGTATTAATTTTTTTACTCGTAAATTTTTTAAATAATCTAACGCATAATTTCTCTTTTTTACGTGTATAAAAAGGTCGATTGTACTAATCATACATCTTATAGTAGAGAAAGATGAAAGAAAGACTTATATTATCCATATTGCAATTTATCAGGAGACGCGGTAGCGTCTCGCTAAATTATATCTTTCATTCGTCAAATTAAAATACAATCTACAAAAAAACAAAAAAAAATATCGAAAGATATCGAAAAGATAGCGAAAATATCGAAACAATAGCGAAAATTATCCGTAGGACGCTACTGTGTATCCTTTACCGGACGTAACACGATTTTCGTAACCTTGAAAACAAAAATTTGAAATATTTCATGAACGGAAACATATTTTTCAAAAGATGACCATATCAATCGAAAGCGCGATTTTTTCCGAGTAAAATGAGACCTTAACGAACTTGATAGCTCTATTGGTTGCGGAGATATGATTTTTTCAAGTTATTTTTGGTCGAAAAGGTGTCACTTTTTTTAAGACTACGGCGTCGTACTTGTCCGCGGTCACCCATCCCGACAAAGTGATTCTGTCCGAAGCTGCTTTACCTTATCCGCGGTCACCCATCCTAGTATAGTGACATTTTCCTCAGCTGCTTAACCTTTTAAGCAACCAAACGAAAAATAAATTCTCGCTCTCTCTCACTCTCTCTCTCTCTCCCCTCTCTCTCCCCTCTCTCTCCCCCCTTTTTCTCCCTTTCTCTCTTGCTTTCCCACGTCTTTTTTCGCTCTCTCTCGCCCTCTCTCGCTTTCTCTCGCTGTCTCTCACTCTCTCTTGCACTCTACCGCTCTCTCGCGTTCTCTCGCTCTCTGCCGCTCTCTCTCGCTTTCTCTCGCTCTCTCCCACTCTCTCTCGCGTTCTCTCGCTCTCTCTCGTCTCTCGCTCTCTCTCGGTTTTTTTCGCTTTCTCTCGCTGTTTCTCGCCTTCTCTCGTTCTCTCTCGCTCTCTCGCTTTCTTCCGGTCTCTCTCGCTCTCTCCCGCTCTCTCTCTCGCGCTCTCTCGGCCTCTCTCGCTCTCTCTCGCTCCCTCTCGTCTTCTCTCACTCTCTCTTGGTTTTTTTCGCTTTCTCTCGCTGTTTCTCGCTCTCTCTCGTTCTCTCCCGCTCTCTCTCGCTTTCTTTCGCTCTCTCTCGCTCTCTCCCGCTTTGTATCGCTCTCTCTCGCTCTCTCTCGCCCTCTCTCGCTGTCTCTCGCTCCCTCTTGCTCTCTGCCGCTCTCTCTCGCGTTCTCTCGCTCTCTCTCGTCTTCTCTCGCTCTCTCTCGGTTTTTTTCGCTCTCTCTCGCTTTCTCACGCTGTTTCTCGTCTTCTCTCGTTCTCTCCCGCCTTCTCTCGCTTTCTTTCGCTCTCTCTCGCTCTCTCCCGCTCTCTATCGCTCTCTCTCGCGCTCTCTCGGCCTCTCTCGCTCCCTCTCGTCTTCTCTCACTCTCTCTCGGTTTTTTCGCTTTCTCTCGCTTTCTTTCGCTCTCTCTCGCTCTCTCCCGCTTTGTATCGCTCTCTCTCGCTCTCTCTCGCCCTCTCTCGCTGTCTCTCGCTCCCTCTTGCTCTCTGCCGCTCTCTCTCGCGTTCTCTCGCTCTCTCTCGTCTTCTCTCGCTCTCTCTCGGTTTTTTTCGCTTTCTCTCGCTTTCTCACGCTGTTTCTCGTCTTCTCTCGTTCTCTCCCGCTCTCTCTCGCTTTCTTTCGCTCTCTCTCGCTCTCTCCCGCTCTCTCTCGCTCTCTCTCGCGTTCTCTCGGCCTCTCTCGCTCCCTCTCGTCTTCTCTCACTCTCTCTCGGTTTTTTTTCGCTTTCTTTCGCTGTTTCTCGCCTTCTCTCGTTCTCTCCGCTCTCTCTCGCTTTCTTTCGCTCTCTCTCGCTCTCTCCCGCTTTGTATCGCTCTCTCTTGCTCTCTCTCGCCCTCTTTCGCTGTCTCTCGCTCCCTCTTGCTCTCTGCCGCTCTCTCTCGCGTTCTCTCGCTCTCTCTCGTCTTCTCTCGCTCTCTCGGTTTTTTTTGCTCTCTCTCGCTTTCTCGCGCTGTTTCTCGCTTTCTTTCGCTCTCTCTCGCTCTCTCCCGCTTTGTATCGCTCTCTCTCGCTCTCTCTCGCCCTCTTTCGCTGTCTCTCGCTCCCTCTTGCTCTCTGCCGCTCTCTCTCGCGTTCTCTCGCTCTCTCTCGTCTTCTCTCGCTCTCTCTCGGTTTTTTCGCTCTCTCTCGCTTTCTCACGCTGTTTCTCGCCTTCTCTCGTTCTCTCCCGTTCTCTCGCTCTCTCTCGCCCTCTCTCGCCCTCTCTCGCTCTCTCTCGCTCTCTCTTGCTCTTTCCCGCTCTCTCCCGCACTCTCTCGCGTTCTCCCGCTCTCTCTCGCTTTCTCTCGCTGTTTCTCGCCTTCTCTCGTCCTCTCCCGCTCTCTCTCGTTCTCTCTCGCTCTCTCTCGCTCTCTTTCGCTCTCTCTCGCTTTCTCCCGCTCTCTATCGCTTTTTCTCGCTCTCTATCGCCTTCTCTCGCTTTCTCTCGCTCTCTCTCGCTCTCTCTCGTCTTCTCTCGCTCTTTCTCGGTTTTTTTCGCTTACTCTCGCTCTCTCTCGCTTTTCTTTCGCTCTCTCTCGCGTTCTTTCGCTCTCTCCCGCTTTCGCTCGCGTTCTCTCGCTTTCTCCCGCTCTCTCTCGCGTTCTCTCGTTCTCTCCCGCTCTCTCGCGTTCTCTCGCTCTCTCCCGCTCTCTCTCGCGTTTTCTCGCTCTCTCCCGCTCTCTCTCGCGTTCTCTTGCTCTCTCTTGTCTTCTCTCGCTCTTTCTCGCTTTCTCTCGCTGTTTCTCGCCTTCTTTTGTTCTCTCCGCTCTTTCTCGTTCTCTTTCGTTCTCTCTCGTTTTTTTCCGCTCTCTCTCGCTCTCTCCCGCTTTCTATCGCTCTCTATCGCTCTCTCTCGCTCTCTCCCGCTTTGTATCGCTCTCTATCGCTCTCTCTCGCTCTCTCTCGCTCTCTCTTGCTCTCTCCCGCTTTCTCTCGCTCTCTCTTGCTCCCTCTTGCTCCCTCTTGCTCTCTCCCGCTCTCTCTCTTGGGTCCTCTTGCTCTCTCTCGTCTTCTCTCATTATAAATATAAAAAAATATACATTTATTTAATGCATTTTGTTTAATGATCTTTGCAAAAATATGTGAAATCCCACAAAAAAAGACATCACAGATGTAAAAAAAAAAGCGCTAAGTTATATCTTTCGTCAGCAAAAATAGTTCTTTATAATAATAAAAAATATAATCTTCTCAAAATTATGTTTATAGCCAAAATAATTCTTTGCAAAAATTAATCATTATCAAAAATATTTTCTCAAAAATTATATTTATAAATTATATTTTATTTTTGTTAATAATACTAGAAAAAAATTAAAATATTAGCATCAAAAAGTAGTGAAATCAAAAAATTGCGCTAAATAATTATATTGATAATACGAGAAAAAAGGTTAAAATATTAGCATCAAAAAGTAGTCAAATCAAAAAGTTGCACTAAGTAAGTGACAACATAATATATAATATTTAGATAAATTTCTTATAATGATACAAATGTATAATTATTGCTTTATTTTAAAACGTT